TGTGCTGCTGAGCTATATCCCTGGCAATTTTCTTTTTCTGTATGGTATTTTAATATTCTTGTACCCTTGGGCTATTTTGATACCAGTGACATTGTTCTGTATGTTCTTAGTGCCAGGGAAGTAAAGATATTGTAGAAAATACTTAGTTGAAGGATAAAAGATGTTATTTCTTTTTCTTTTAGATCTTACCTAAACTTTCTTTGCCTGCTCGCCCTTGGAAACAAGCAATGAAGCAGAGTTTTGCCTTTGACAATGTCGGCTACGAAGGGGGTCTGGACAACGTGTGCCCTTCTCCGACGATCACCAGCACCATCAGCGTTTTGGGCATGACTTGCCAATCCTGCGTCAAGTCCATCGAGGGCAGGATTTCTAGTTTGAAGGGCATTGTGAACATAAAGGTTTCCTTGGAACAGAGCAACGCAACTGTGAAATATGTGCCATCAGTAATCAGCCTGCAGCAGGTTTGCCACCAAATTGGGGACATGGGCTTTGAGGCCAGCGTTGTGGAAGGAAAGGCTGCCTCCTGGCCTTCAAGGACTTCATCAGCCCAGGAGGCAGTAGTCAAGCTGCGGGTGGAGGGCATGACCTGCCAGTCCTGTGTGAGCTCCATCGAAGGCAAGCTGCGGAAACTGCAGGGCGTAGTGAGAGTCAAAGTTTCACTCAGCACCCAAGAGGCCGTGATCACATACCAGCCTTATCTCATTCAATCCGAAGACCTCAGGGACCATGTCAGTGACATGGGATTTGAAGCTGCCATCAAGAACAAAGTGGCTCCCTTAAGCCTGGGACCAATTGACATCGGCCGGTTACAGAGTGCTAACCCAAAGAGACCGTCAGCTTTTGCTAACCAGAATCTCAATAATTCTGAGACCCTGGGCCACCAAGGAAGCCACACGGCTACCGTGCAACTAGGAATAGATGGAATGCACTGTCAGTCTTGTGTCTTGAATATTGAAGGAAATATAGGCCAACTCCCAGGGGTTCAACATATTCAGGTATCCTTGGAGAACAAAACTGCCGAAGTACAGTACGACCCTTCTTGCGTCACACCTGTGTCCCTGCAGAGGGCCATTGAGGCACTTCGACCCGGGAACTTTAAAGTTTCTCTTCCTGATGGAGCAGGAGGGAGTGGAGCAGGTGATGAGTCTTCAGCCTGCCATGCCCCCGACTCTCCCGGGGGAAGCCACTTGCAGGGCCAGTGTAGCTCTCTAGTGCTCAGCATCACTGGCATGACCTGTGTGTCCTGCGTGCAGTCCATCGAAAGCGTGCTTTCCCAGCGCGAAGGGGTGCAGCGAATCGCGGTCTCTTTGGCTGCAGGGACTGCAACAGTTGTTTATGATCCCTCTATAATTAGCCCTGAAGACCTCCGAGCTGCTGTAGAAGATATGGGATTTGAGGCTTCAGTGGTTCCTGGTAGGTAATTGGTACATGTTTGAAGCGTATCCGGGTAGTGTCTTGGTGTCTTGTAACAGAGTACCTGCGTGGTTGGATGGATGAGCTCTGCTCCCTGCCTCACATGTTGACAGTTAACAAGATCCTTTACCTTTCCTTAACTTGTAAAAATTGTAAGGATGGAGGAATGGAACCCCTCTCATGTAGCTGGCGCTTGAATGCTAAACTCTTTGGATTTGGGCCTCTTTTCTGGAAAAAAATTCTGATTTTTTTTTTATGAAAGATCACTGTGACGGCATCAGGCCCTTTTCGGACCAAAGGACCCTTTCTTATTTTCTCTGAAGGTTTCTCAAAACCAACAGAATCTTAGTCTTAAGACCCAGAGACCGTTTTATTTCAGTGGGAAGGAAGGGAAGGATTTAACAAGATTTCCTTTCCCCCTTTGATGGCTGGAAGGGTAGAGGGCTATGAGGGTGGGGATGACAGTCTTCACAAAGTAAGTAGTGACCATCTCTCTTCCTCCTCCTCCACTTGCTCCTCCTCCTCATTCTCTGGCCTGTTTTCTGTTGCCTTTGTCTTACTCTGCAATGCAGCATCTCTTTTCCATATGCCAGGTTCTGTGCTAATTGTAGGGCTACTGCATGGGAAAGACAGTCTGTCCTCTGAACTTACGTTATCATAAGGGAAAGAGTGAGTAAACCATCAGTGTTCAGCAGGATGAGGCCTGTATGAGGCCAGGCTGTAGCTTTTTCAGGAGGGTTCCTGAGAGTGAGGTGTGGGAGGGGAAGACCAGGAATGTTGGAGAGGAGAAGGGAGGACCTGGAATGTTGGGAGCAGAGCAAGTGGCCTGCATCCCGGAGAGGCAGTGCATGGAGCACGCTATAGAGGAACTCAGAGGGACCTGAGCAGGACAGAAGACTGGCTCAGGAAGTCAGGAGGGTGGAGGTCAGAGCTAGCAAGTATGGGTTCAGGAGGCTGAGCCCTCCCAGAGGCGGGAGGACATTGTGGGCTGGAGATGCAGATATGAGTGTCGGAGCCCAGGTAAGGCAGAGACAGCAGAGTGGCAGGAGAAGGGAAGAAAGCTGGGCAAGAGGGAAGCACATAGAAGCAGAACCTCCCAGACAGTGGCTGGAGGAGAGGGGGGCCTGAAAGTAGCTTGAGTGCACAGAGATGAAGGTGTGAGGGGTCTGCCAGGGGTAGCTGGAGCAAGGCTACTGGAAGCCTCAGCAGCTGCTTCAGGACATGGGAAGGTGGGAGCTTAGCTTGCACCACAGCAAGGGCAAGAAAACCACCAGTAGCATAGGTCAAAGAAGGGCAGAGAGGGGCTTAGAAAGGGAAAGGTAGGGGTATTCCTGAGAGGCTGAAGACAAGGAGCGAAAAGGGTGTTTTGAGATGAGGTCTTGTTGTAGTGCCTAGGCTGGTCTGAAACTCTTGAGGTTCATGTCGATATAGGATATCCAAACGATATAGAGGAAATAAATGTGACTCCAGTCTGCTCAATGTCTCAGATGCCCAGTTTGTACTCCCCGAAGTTGAAGAATGAATTGTAAGAAACAACAGAGGTTAAAAGTAGGAAAATTTATTGGGGAAAATGAATAGAAAATAGGAATAGCTCCTGAGAGACAGAAGGGGTCCTGAATGGGTTGCCGAGGAGCCCACTTCTCAAAGGAAATTTTATAGAACAAAATCGTGAGGCGGGTACAACATGGGTCAGAACTATGATCAATAAGATTACAAGTATGGTTGCTGAGGTAATACTGATTCAGTAGTAGCAAGCGCCTGTGGATGACATCATTAACCTTGATTGTATAGTCTTAGTCTTCTTTAGTTTTAGTGTTAGGAGTCTTAGTTGTTTTAGTCTTAGTCTTGGTGGGAGAGGATGGCCCACCCCTAATGAGATGTTAGTTTATTTATATGGGAAATCTCTAAAGGGTGGCACCAAGAATCTCTAGCTTCCATTTATCCCTTTAGGGAAGTACATAGATCTGGCCATTGTGACTTTAATCTTCAGCCACAGTTTTGATGTGTTCTCATCTTTGGCACTGACTCCCTTGAGAGCCCAGTCCTGTATAGCGGCCTATAATATTTCCACCTAACTTAGCTGTCTATAGTGTTATGATACTCCTGCTTTCACCTCCTGAGCGGCTGGGAGTACTGAGATGGGAGTACTTACAGGCATATTTGGTGAGGGGCAGCTCTGTGGGTGTTAACATTTTAACCATTCAGCATCTGGACCCAGCCTGGGTGTCTTGTGAACCTGCAGAATACTAAAGGTGGTGGCCGCAGAACCCTGATTCCAGAATCACTGCTGCAGGGTGTAGGCACCTAGCTTAGGAGGAGTTACTTGTGGTCCCATAGGCCAAGGCCCAGGCAGCATCCAGGGCTGATGGAGTTGGTTTCCCATACCACGTTTCTGCTGGCCACAGAGATAAGACTGTGTCCTTGAAAAGTTTGCTCTACTGGGATACTTTCCTGGGTGCTTCTGTCCACAGCACACCTGCTATCAAAGGGACTGGGTAAGTCTCAAGTGGCTTGGCCACATTCTCTTTCATTTGTACCAAGTTGTAGGAAGGAGGTGTCCTTACTTCACCACCTGCAAGAAGGAACAAAAGCCCAAATCAGTAAGGAGAACACAATAGAACAGTAAATCCTGTACTCAAAAGGTGAGAAATACAGTATGCGGTCAACATCTGCTGTTTTTATGGGAGGGTTAAAGTCTTTCAGCAGTACAGTTAGATTGTTGGCAGTAAAAAAGAAATGAGCATTTAATTACATATTATAAGAGAGTTGAAGTTGACTGAGTAAACCTAGAAAGAAGTGATTTTTTACTGGGCAGAATTATGTTTACCACAAGAGGGTATCAGATTTAGCAAATAAAACATATTAGGATACCCCATTGAATTTGAATTTCAGATAAACTGATTTTTTAGTATATGAGCATTGAATATATACATATATATATTTACACTAAAAATTAAGTGTGCTTATATACACTAGAAATTATTTGTGTTCATCTGAAATTAAAATTTAATTGGACACTCTGTATTTTAGCTGGCAAATGTAATCTAGGACAAACCACTAGTGTGCTGGTGAGTAGCGTTCATAACCACTTAAATGATATAAGGTATTATTTGTAGTTGATCCCTCTCTCTGGATTGATTAGGAGTTCACGGTGGACAATCTTGGAATCTGTGTGACTCGTGTCTCCTTGGACTCACCAGCACCCACTCTATTGTAGGCACTTGGGAAGGAGGAGAAAGGAGAAAGGACTGGCTGTGACAAGCATAGAGTAGCTCAATGGAGTGATTTACCGCAGGGAACTAGTCCAGAGGTGCTAAAGAGCAAAAAAGCCAACTTGACCATGGGGAGGAAACCCCACGATGAACCTCAGGATGAACCTCAAAGCAGGAGAAGGGCTGCAGCCATCAGCCAGCTGCACTCCTCAAGGGAGGGGACATAGGTTACCCTCTGCCCCGTGAGCGAAGCATCCCAGTATGTGAGATTCAGTGAGAAAAAAAGACTTCAAAGTCAGAGGCTGTTGTTGGATAGGTCACTGCCAGACTTTCTGTCTTCTGAAGCTCCAGTTTTAGGAAAATGACAGTCCATTATTAAATGATAGTTATCTTTTCTGCATGCTTAGACAGGGATGTATTTTGAGTTACCAAAATAGTGTGAGTTTCTAGAGCAGTGAAAATGCCGTATAGTGACCGTAAAGATAGTGTGTGTTTAGGGGGTCGGCAGAATGAAGGCCCCCAGGTATCTACACCCTGATCCCTGTAACCTGTGAATAAATTGCTTTACATGGCAAAGGGGACTTTATACAAAGACCGATCAGAACTGTGTAGTGTAAATGTTTAAAAAAGTATTACAATGAAAGACATATTGTCATTAACCCCCCTGAAAATACTCTCCTTCATCTGGACACACTTACTCCATTGTTCTCGGCACCTCCTATAGCAGTTGTGCAAGTTCTCTGTCATGTCTTTGTGAGGTAGGTTAAACACAGAGAATGCTGCTGCCAAGCACCGTTCAAAGAGTGTTACGGCGTGTCCTGATCCACCTATTCACTGGTTCTGACACTGTGACACTTCTTTCCTGAAGTTAAAATCACCACAAAAGGCAAACGTTTTGAATTGTTGCAGGATATCAAGGAGGCCACGACTAAAAGCACGCATGAAGGAGGACTTCCAGAACTGCTTCAGAAATGTCAAGAAACACGGGACAAGTGTGTCCTGACCAAGGGGGCAGTATTCTGCTGGGGATTAACAGCAGTGTGTCTTTTACTGTAATAAATTTTAAAATATAAATGTTCACCAGATTTTTGGATCACACCCTATACATAGGGCCAAAGGAGTGAATCTTGAGGTAGAGAGATGCTGAATTAATAAGGGGACCCAGTTGAATCCCATCAGTTATTAAAAGTGGAGAACTTTTCCTGGCTGAATTAGAGAAGTGGGCTAGTTAAAGAGAGACAGAGGGTTGCTAACTTTGAAGGTGAGGGAATGAAATCCTGAACCTGGGAATGCTGGTGGCCTGTAGGTGCTGGAAAAGACAAGGACACGTATTTCCCCTAGTGCCTCCTAAAGGACACAGTGCTGCTGACGCTTTGATTTCAGCCTGGAAGGTCATGTGGCAGTTGTAACTGTGGGACTATAGGATAATACATTGTGGTGTCTGAGCTACTAACTGTATAGTAATCTGTTAGAGTAGTGCTGGGAAACTAAAATTATAGCAGTAGTGGGAAATACATAACAAGTTTCAGAGGTAGATTCTTTGGCTTTGTGCATCTTATTCTAAGTTACACCTCCCCACAACCCCCCGAAAAAAGACTGTGGTACTGGCACAAAAGTACACAAAAAGGATCAGTGGGTACAGTGGAAGCCCCAAAAGGGGTGCATGCCAGTGTGGTCTCCTAATATATGGTTAAAGATGCCTTTGAAATTCTGTGGGGAAAGGATAATTGTTTCAGTCCGTGGAACTGGATCTAATTAGAAAGAAATTAACCTTAATTCTTAATTTGTGCTGCATACAAAATGTAATTGAAATGGATGTGGAAATTATTTAAAACAGTAGAGCTTCTTGAAGAAATGAAGCCATGAATATGCCACTCATATTTTTGCAATGTTGTTGAGGTACAGATCTACTAGGAAAGCACAACATAAACAAATCTTTTTTTAAAAAAAGCCTGGGGATGTAGTTCAGTGTAAAGGCCCTAGGTTTAATCCCTAGCACTACCAAAAGGAAAAAAAAAAAAAAAGAAAAAGAAAAGAGAAAGAGAAAAGAAAACACAAAAAGTACTGCCTATTTAAAAAAAAGGGATCGAAATATTCTAATTGGCATGATGGAGAAGGAAGCTGTTAGAAAACCAACCACAGGCTGGGAGAGGTATTTGCAGTACATACAACTGACAAAGGATTTGTATCTGGGGACTATAGAGAACTTACACAAATAGTAAAAAAAAAAAGGCAAACAACTCAATACGGGAAGAGAGCCAGACCTTTGCTAACAAGAATGAGGTAGTGGTCAAAGATACAAACCACAGAGGTAAACCTATTTAAATCTTGCTTCAAGACATACTAATTTCTTGTGATTAATTTCTTCATCCATAAATGGCGAGAAGTGCATTTACCATATAGGGCTCTTTTAAGGCCTAAAGGAGGTTATACATATAAAGTACTTAGTAGTGTGCTTGGTGAGTTACTGTTATTAACATCATCATCAAGTTTTTTGAGCCTTTGCTTACCCTGAGCAATCATCCTTAAAACAGACACGTTTTTGTGTTTCTCTAATTGTGTGTCTTTCTCTCTGTTTCTGATTATGGGGAGGCAGAGGCAGAGATAGAAATATCAATCCCCACGTCGCCTCTATAGGAACTTTTTTTTTTTTTTTTTTTTTTTTTTTTTGGTTTTTCTCTGGTACCGGGAACCGAACTCACGACCCCAATAAACTTTCCTACTCTTTCTGTTTGCTTGTTTGTTTTGTTTTTTTTTTTTTTTTTATAGGAACTTTTAATATGAGTATTGTTGGGCTTGAACTTGTTGCTCTGAAAAACTATTATTTGGTCTTACAATTTGAATTATTTCTGATATTTTATTCTAGAAAACCATTCTACTAACCATGTTGAAAGCCACAGTGCTGCGAATGCCGTGCTGCAAACTCTGGGTGACCCACCTGTGTCCGTGCAGGTAGTGGCCCCCCACGCCAGGAGGCCCAATAGGAGCCACAGCCCTGGCTACTCATCACATATCCCACAATCCACTGGAACAGCAGCTGCGCAGAAGTGCTTTTTACAGATCAAAGGCATGACCTGTGCGTCCTGTGTATCTCACATTGAAAGGAATCTCCAGAAAGAAGCTGGTAAGAGTTCTACACTCTGTTGAATTTGGGGGTGCTGTGTGTGGACTGGGTGTTCTTTCAGAATCACCCTTGATGGCATCAGTGCCATGGAAAGTCTGGTAGCAAATTCATGATATGATAATATAGATGTTTGTCTAACATCTAGAAAACCATTCTACTAACCATGTTGAAAACTACAGTTTGTGCAGTTGGCGTTGTTCTCTAAGAGGTATTTAGTTTGAGAGAAAGTGTATCTCTGAGTAAGTTGTCATGGAAAATACAGTTTAAAGGTCATGTGACAATCTATGGATTGACTTATTAGTTAGCTTTTCCTAGTATTACTCAGTCCCATCAACTCCTTTCTACAAAATGAATAAATAATATGAATTTTGTATATAATTCCAATTTCAAATATTCTATTCTGTTGCTCCTGAGTTTGTGGAAATGCAAAGTTTTGTCTTTCAAACTATATTTCCGATTCTTTCTCTATGTCTTGTACCCCCTGACCCTCTCTTTTTTTCTTTCATTGTGGTACTGGGGATGGAATCCGGGCCAGCACATGTTAGACAAGTGCTCTGCCACTGAGCTACCTCCCAGCTGCCAATCCTCTCTCTAAAATACGGAAATGCAGAGAAAAATCCTGCCCCTTTTTTTTAGTACTGGCGATTGAACCCAGGGCCTCACACATGCTAGGCAAGCGCTCCCACTGAGCTATATCCCCACCCTTTTTAAAATTTTATTTTGAGACAAGGTCTTGCTAAGTTCCTTGGGTCAAATCTTGAACTTGTGATTCTCCTGCCTAGCCCCACCAAGTGTCAGGGGTTACAAATTGGAAGTAGTTTAACGATGACTTTACCTCACCACCAGAGATAATTTCCTTTCAGCATGCTGATAACTCCATGAGTCTTTGCGCCCTGGCTCCCTGTCCCGTAGCATCAACTCTGAAATAGGAAGACATGTTTCTCCAGCCTCTCTCACTGTGCCTTAAGACCACCTGGAGTTGTAGAATGACTGTGCTTAGATTCGGCGCTGCAGGAGTTCCTTTGTTATCCATGGGCTGGCGGTTCTTAAGCATACTTCATAATTTTATAAAACTGGTCTGTACCTGTCTGAATCCCTCATTTTCATCCCTCATACTTTGTAAAGCACGTCACTGCTTTCATTTCCTTGAGTCTAGCCCCCTCCTCTGACTACGTCAATAGTGTCAGCAAGGTAGTCTGTGGGATTTTTTTTCCCCCCTTTGCTGAAAGTCATTGAAAACTGAAAAACAGCAAGTAAGACCATTTTTGAGAGTTATTTTTTCCTTGTATGACAGTGTCTGGAGAAAGAAAGCATATGCCTTCTGCAATGGTAGTTGGTAGCTGCCTACCACCTTCCGTGCTTTGATGTGCATGCGTCCATGCAGCCTTTGAAAGCCTGACTCAGTGTGGTCCGTGGGCCACCGTACCAGCATCACTGGGAGCTGCGGAGATGTGTGGGATCTCACGCTCATCGAGTTAGAGCCCTATTTTAACAAGGTTCTCAGATGACCACTATGCCTATATTGTTTGGCACTTTTTTTTGTCTTTTTGAGCCAGGGTCTCGCTATGCACTTTAGGCTGGCTTTGAACTCACTTTGTAGCCCAGGCTGGCCTCGAACTCAAGGCAATCCTCCTGCCTCAGCCTCCCAAGTACTAGAATTACAAGCGTGTGCCACCATGACTGGCCAAGCTTTTTTTTTTTTTAAGAATAGTGGCACTCAAACTTAACTGTATATTAGAATCACCTAGAGAGCTTTTGTAAAAAAGCGACACCTGCCCACCCTGAGAGATTCTGACTGCTTGGTCGGGGTTAAGGGCCAAGCACTGGGATTGCCAGAGCTCCCCAAATGATCATTGTGTACTGCCGAGTTTGGGAAACCGTGCTCCAGAGGCTTTGGGGAATACATTTTTCTGTGTTACACTGTGTTGACTCTGTCATCTCAGACACTGCCAGAGGGTCTCAGCTGTGATCTGATGTTTCCAGGTGTTCTGTCCATCTTGGTTGCCTTGATGTCGGGAAAGGCAGAGGTCAAGTATAACCCAGAGGTCATCCAGCCGCCCCAAATCGCCCAGCTCATCCAGGACCTGGGCTTTGAAGCAGCGGTCATGGAGGACAATGCAGGGTCAGATGGCGACGTTGAGCTGGTTGTAAGTACAGTGGCTGCCTCACGGGGTGCAGGCTTCATATGTTTTGCAGAAGAGTTTCTGACAGCAGTCATTCTTATGACAGTGAGTGTTCTCCATCTTGGGCATACCCTGTCTGTTGTTGGGATTTGTTTCTCTTCTTCCTCTTTGAAGCCAGTAGCAATGACCTGTTCGTTTTATAAAGGAAGGGCAGTTATGTCAAGACGTCAGAGGAGGCAGTCTCACCAAGGGCGCTCAGGGTGTAAGGAGGAAGAGGGGGAGGTGCAGGAGGGAATGGTGGCACAGATATCGGGCTGTCCTGAGTGTGGCGGGCTGGGGGAGGTTGAATGCACACAAAGTCCTTCAGATCCAGAGAGAAGCGCAACTAACTGTGTGCACTAACCTGTAGGCAGAGGAGGTAATCTCCGGGGTGGTGAGTGCCATTCAAAGATAAAGGGTAGAGCACTTGCCTAGTGCGTGCAGGGCTCTGGGCTCAGTCTTCAGCCCTGCAAAAACAATACAGTGGTGCACAGGGCTTCTTGTAGGCACATGGAGGTCTAGAAGATAATTATGGACCCGAGTATCCCGGAGCACGCAGTCTGGGGGCAGTGCCTTGGGTGGAGATTGCTCCCACTGTGTGAGAGTCGGGAGGTCTGGTGTCTGTCCTCTGGCACAGCTGCATGGGGACAAAGCATGAAAACAACAGGTAATCCTGGTACTGACAAAATGCTCACTTCAAAAGTACTTCTATAGAAAGCTCTTTTTATGAAAATGGAGACAGGCGAAATCACAAAGGAATTGAGTAATGCTCTTTTACCTGCTTAAATGTTTGGCCACGGCCATGGTGCTAAGTAAATGTTTGAGGAAAGTGTCAAGGACATGAGGTACACACTGAGCTCCTGATAAGGGCGGTCTCTGTGGAGCAAACCCTTGGCTCTGTGGGGCCCTGCGTGTCGAGGGGCCAGTTAATCCTCGCTGGGCTACAACTCGCATCGGGCCCGTGAGGAGGCGGGTCTCTGCTGCCAGCCTCCAGGTCCACACCTGGGCATCCCAACCCACTCAGGCTGCTGTGTGGAAACTCTAAATCGAGACTGGAAAAGGAGAGGGAAAAGCTTTCCGTGAACCAGTATTTTCTATTGCAGTGGTTTTTTTTAAAACAAACTCTGATGTGTCAGTAGTTATATTGGCATCACATGACCACAGACATTTTATGTGAACTTCTGTTTTAATTAGTATTCTAGGAAGTGCTGACCACAGAAGTGAGTTGTCTAATTTGTCTAGTCCACATTCCAAGGATGGCACATCGCACTTCAAAGATCTTTTTCTTTCATGTGAGGATACAGCACATGGCCTGGCAGGAGCGCTGCAGGCCTTGGCTGGTTGTGAGTTCTAACCCTGCTGCAGCAGGGGCATTTGTTAACCTCTGGGAGTCAGGGTAAACCTGATTCACACCACGCAGCAGTGGTGCGGAGCACGCTCTGGAGCCAGGCTCTTTGGGTACAGGCTCCTGCTCTGCCCCTAACTGGCAGTGTGACTTGGACCAGTTACTAGACCTGTTAGCCTTGTGGTTTTGAGACCTGCCTCATAGGGCAGGGAAAGCAGTGCAGCGCTAGGACAGGCCTCGACATCTTGGAAGTATTTCATAAGTGCTAACTTTTATTACTGCTGCAAAAGTAGAAGAAGCACTTAGGAGCACTACCATGAATTATTTGTAAACTTGGTAAGAGTCTGTGATTGCAGCCACCAGCCAGTGGGTTAGCTCCTATTTGCCTGATAGTCCTCTCTTTTTGGTATTGTTCTTGGGTCTCCTGCTAAGGTTAACATGTTCCAATTCCAGATGAGCTCCCCTCTCCTTCCCTAACTCCAGCTTGTCAATCTCATCTCTTGTGTTCTTTCTGGGATCACTAATGCAAATTTCCAAGTACAGCTGCCCTCACATCATCCCAAAGCTCCCTACCTCTCTCGGTGGCCTTGCATCAAGTGTTGGCTTAGTGATACTTTTGGCTGTGCTTAAGAGTCTTGGTGCTGTGGACCTAGCCAGCATGCAGACTCCCTCCTCTTCCTCACAGGCCCTGTGCTGGGCAAGCTGGCTGCAGGTCACCTGAACATCTACCTTGTGCCATCCTTCCTTGTGTCTTTCCCGTTAATGTTACTGAGCCCCTCACCTATCAACACCCTCTCCATACTTCGGCACCCCTCAGATTCCAGTTCATCCATTGGCCACTCCCTGAGTCTTGCCAAGCAGAGCACTGGAATAGCAGGAGGGTTTTAGCAGACGCTACGAACCAGGCACTGGCAAGACTCTAAATTACAGTGGTACGGCAAGTGAGTTCATCAGGAACAGCATTCATCAGAGACTGAAAGAGCAGGAACGAACAAAGCTTTGTTGAGCCGGCTGACGGGGCGTCTCTAACCAGGAGCCAGAGAAGATGTCTGCGCCAATCTGGGTCTCACCTTTGCTTTAAGTACATTTTAGGTTTCCATAGTAACGATTACCTCATTTTTGGGACTCTTACAAGAGTGTCGCACAATTATCACAGAGTTTCCCAGAAGCTGTCCGACAGCCAGATTCCAGATGACCATGGCAGGTTAACTTTTAGCCCACTTCCCAGTTTGTCCTGTTTGTTCTGTTCCCACTTTATGACTCTGCTCTCCTGTAAGTGGGTTGGTAACTAACCGAGGGGACTGGGGTGAAGAGTGGGGTCAACTACTGCTTACGTGAACTTAAGTGACTTCTCAATATGGAGTTAAAAAAGAAAATAGAGTCTCTCTTGCCCGATCAGTAGCTCCTTTCAGGAGTTTGTAGGCGCACATCTTCATTCTTCAGAGGCAGTTATTGTCCAGTGTTTCTGGTGAGATAACGGAAACATAGCTTCCAAAAGTCCATTTTCCTAGAGCCCAAAGTCAAGCCTTGTTCTGTTGCCATCTGCTAAATTGTTGTTGCTTCCTGTACCTGAGCTGGGGGAGAACCACTGTTTATCTCCCTAAAGGGCTGTGAGGGGTGAGCATCTTGAGCACCTGGCTTATGGGCTCATGGGTGGGAGTCCAGAGTCTTAGGAGGGCTCTGTAGAGGGAGAAGGATGGAGGCTGCCCACCCGCCAGGTGCTTCCGTTTTTTTTGTTTTTTTTTTGTTTTTTTTTGAGACAGGGCCTAACATGTCATTCAAGCTGGCCTCAGACTCACAGTAATCATCCTGCCTCAGCCTCTCGAGTGCTGGGCGTACCGGCCTGTGCCCCAACACCTGGCACCCCCGGCTGCTTTTGAAAGGCCCCCTCTCAGTCTTGGTCCCGTGGCATTGTGTTCCCCTGTCTTACAGATCACAGGGATGACCTGCGCTTCCTGTGTTCACAACATAGAGTCCAAGCTCACCAGGACCAACGGCATCACCTGCGCCTCTGTGGCCCTGGCCACCAGCAAAGCCCGTGTGAAATTTGATCCAGAAATTATCGGTCCACGGGATATTGTCAAAATTATTGAGGTAATTCATTCGTGAAAAATTATACCCGGTGTTCATAAAGCAGTAACAAATCACCATTGAGGGAAATGATTAAGAACATATAATTAAGCAGAAGGAGAAAGTAAAAGTCACCTAAAATCCACCAACTTTTACTATGGTATAAGGTTACTTTCGAATAATCCAAGAAGGTCAGTAAATATCAGATCATCTGAGAGAGCATATTAATGAATAGGTAAGAAAGAGATAGGGGGAAAAGATGTTATTGTTATTAGTTTTAGTTTCAGATACTCCCTGAGAAGCATTAGTATTGCTGAGCTATCTGGTACATAGTGCTAAATTGCCTAATTATAATTCTCAAATATTTCTGTCAATGGCAAGTATCTACAGACTAAGGGAATGTTGGCCTTGGGCAGAATGATACTACATCTCGCCCACTGCTAGGCCTGTCTTGCAGGAAAGTTTGATCCTTTTTGCTGTGGAAAGTAAGCTAGAATGTCCATGCCTGTGCTGCCTCCTGCTCCCTCGCCCAGGTTGTGCAGAAACCTAGCATTTCCCCTTTTAAGAGCCATGTTACCCCAGACTATAGAGAGTGAACATCGTCATCGTGTGATGACTGGAGTGGGTTAAAGCAATCAACACTAGACGAGATCACCTTGTGGTAGTTACTGGTAAGGATAAATTAAGCTTAGTGAGGACTATTTATGAAATTGCATATGAAATGAAACATTACAGCAGGCTTATGCCATGTTATCTTTAAGTTTCTCTACATTTTGCATGTGGCCCAGCAGAGCTTTTTGACATGGAAATGATGTATCACGCCAGAGGCAGAAGATAGGGGTCCTTCATTAAATGAGGAGAGAGCTTCAGAGTGGTTAAAGGCATTGTTCCCTGGGACCCAGCTCCCAGACATGGAGCAGCACTTTATCTCACAATTTGAGGCCCAGCTATTTTTCTGTTTTTGTTTTGTTTTATTTTTGAGACAAGGTCTCACTGTGTAGTTCAGGCTGGTTTTGAACTGTGTAGTCCAGGCTGGTCTCATACTGAAGGCAGTCCTCCTGCCTCAGCCTCCCGAGTGCTGGGATTCTAGTCATGTGCTACCACCCTGGCCTATCTTTCTATTTCTACTCTGCCACTGTGTTGTTCTTGAATACAGCAGTGACATGGTAGTGTAAGGCTAAGGAGTCACGCTGATGCAGGAAGCGGGAAGGAAAGTCTCAGGTAGGACCTTAAATACAACCTGCCTCCACTTGGCTCACCCAGTGTGTGCAGCACACTCTCTTCCTTGTTGGAGGAATATTGGAATACTGCTTGGCTTCCTTGTGTGCATCTCTGGGGTACCTTTCCGTAATATACTCAGGTTAGTGTGAGTTGTAAAAGCATTTGTCTTACGTAGTCTTAGATGTTCTTCTTTCTGCCTCAATTTTCAGTTTTGTATAAGAATCCCAGCTGCGGAGTCCTGGGGCCCCTCTCTTTGTCAAGGTGACTGACAACATTTCCTGACATATGTTCATAAAGTCAGAGCCTGCTGGTCAGATCAAGGTGGTTACAGAAGTACACAGGGTCATTCATGAGAAAAGCCCCAGCTGGAGGCCCAGGCTCTGTGGGCTACAGCGGAAGCCTGGCTTCCGGATCCTGAAGGGGCTGAGAGCAGCTCCAGTGGGTGGCAGCCAGGACTGGACCTGGAGGCCTGAGTTCTGGCTCTAGCTTGTCTGCATAGCTCTGTGGCTTTGGGTGAAGTATTTAACCTCTCTTGCTCTTTTCTTATGAATGGAAAGAAACTGCCAGACCACGGAAGATATTTGGGATTCCTAAACTCAAAACTTCTGAGTTTATAAGTCAGTATTGGTCAGCTTTGGGGCCTGATGAAGTTAGCTGCCCAGCACCCACGGCCTTTGTCAACAGTAGGGTCTGGAATCAACACTTGACACCATATCCTCCCAGACGGCGCAGTCCCTAAACGTAGACAGTACTGAACCTCCAAATAGGATTTGTTGGCCAGCAGGAGAGGAGGACCCAGTAGTCTCCAGAGGCACTTTGAGATTCACTGTGTATTTTCCAGAGCTGTAAAGTGCTCTCCGCCAATGCATATTTTAACAAGTACCTTCCCCCTTGTTCCCTGCCCCTCTCTTTTTGCTAACAAGGAGATTGGCTTCCATGCTTCCCTGGCCCAGAGAAGGCCCAACGCTCATCACTTGGACCACAAGATGGAAATAAAGCAGTAGGTAGAACACCACGACAACTGCAGCCCTGTCTCGCTCTCCATCTTCCTGTCCCTGCCGACTCTATGGCTCCTGTTGTGTGAATGTCTTTGTGTTGGCTTTGTGCTTGTTGTGCTTTGTCCTTGCTGTCCGTGGGCTCCCACCTGGATTGGTTGCCTTTTTCTGTGGGACATTAACACTCTGAAACAGCATTGTCGTAGAAGTTTTGTGATAATGACAGTGTTCCAGGTCTGCACTGCACCTCTGTGTTCGAACACATGAAGCTAGTGTGACTGTGGGGCTGATTGCAGAGGGGCTGAGACAGTCTCACTATGTAGCCCAGGCTGGACTTGCAGCGATCCTCCTGCCTCTTATGCTCCCAAGTGCTGGGACTACAGGCACACGCCACCACACCCAGCCTTGAATTTTTACATTTGACTTAATTTTCATTCTTTTAAACAGCCAGCTGTAATTGGATAGTGCTCAAATTGGGAGAGAAAAAGGAAGGGTCTTTTTTCTTAAACAGTATTTTCAGATTTTATTTGCATAGATTCTGGAGCTAGAATCTGAGGGCAGACACCATGGCTGAATGGAAAGCAGAGGGCCAAGGAAGCAGGAGGCTGGGGTTCATTGTTCCAGGCAGTCTCTAATGCTTGCGACAGAGTTAGAGGCTGCTGTTGTGTATTGTGACGCTGCTGGGGATGAACAGACGCCGTCATCCCTGCCTAGAGCGGCTCTGGTCGGGCAGGCAAAGAGTGAGGAGCTGCAACAGCGGTGGTGCAGATGGGTTCTGGAAGGCTGAGGAAGCCTCCAAGTGGGGACCCAGGATTTGAGCCTTAGGCTGCATGCATTGGTAGTGGGAGGGCATCTTCTGGGGCCTCCAAGGATCCCCGGGGCATAAGTGGGACTGGAAGGCCTGGGACCTGGAAAGCCAGGGAGGCTGACTCCTTGGGCACCAGTCTGGACACACAGTAAAGGCAGGGCCAGTGTGTGTCACCAAGAAAAAAGTGAAGAGATGGAAAACCGGGCTTTGGGGCATTCCACCATTAACAGAGAAGTGGAGGATGAGCAAAGGAGACAGAGAAGGGGAGGAGCAGGGGAGGAGGCTCCAGAACCACTTGGTTAGAGAGTCACACGTGCTGCACTTGGTACAGATCCACAGCTGTCATCTGTGACCCCTGATTGCAGACGTATTCATCAAGACCGCCTCACTATTCTTACTGATTCTGTTTTAAATAATTGTTTAAAAGTTGAATGTGTAATGGCTAGGCACAGTTGCGCATGCCTGCAACCCCAGAACTCTGGGAAGCTGAAGGAGGAGGGCCACAAATTCAAGCCCAGCCTGGGCAACTTAGTGACTTTACACAACTCTGTCTCAATAAAAAACAAAAAGGGCTGGGGGTGTAGCTCAGTCCCCAGTAAACCCCTGCCCTGACAAGATCGATTGTGTAAGTAAGCTTATACCGGTGAAATACTGCCATCCGCTATTTCTTTTCCTGTGAGGGTTAGTGTAAGAATACAGTTCGAAGAAAGAGCCGTAGCAGCTGTAGACTGAGAATGTTAACCTCTTTGGGGTAGATTCTAGCTACTGGGCCTCAGCTGTGAAACCTTTAGGTTGAAGGCCATATATCAGCCAAGTGAAGAAGAGGGCTCTGTTGCCACAGTGCTTAGGTCTTTTTTTTTTTTAATGTTTAGATTGTCCCTGGGATGGCAGAGTCAGGGAGAGAGACTTACTTTTGTTTTAACCCACGGTGGTCTGTTCCAGACATGTGAGAAAGTCAGGTTTTAGACCGAATCTTCAGTAGGGGCACGTCCTGTGATCCAGGGCACAGGGTCTAACATGTCTCCCTTTGCTTCCAGGTGGAGGAAGTCTTTCCTGTGCAGCCTGGTCTTTGGCATCCCTGTCATGGGCTTAATGATCTACATGTTAATACCCAGCCACGAGTCTCACGAGACGATGGTCCTGGACCGCAACATCATCCCGGGACTGTCCATTCTGAACCTCATCTTCTTCATCTTGTGTACGTTTGTGCAGGTACGTAAGGAAACTGGGAAAGCCCCTGCTGTCAGTGCCTGTGGGTGGCCCACAGGTACTGTCCCTCTTAGGCTGAACACAGCTTTTTAGCTTGCCCTCAGTGGTATTTCCTGAGCCAGCTCCTGACATTACTGCTTTTATTTTCTGTCTTATGATCAACAGGACAGGGCCAGACCCTCTGCCCTGGGGACTAAGAAGGGTCTAATTTCCCTGTCAGTTTCACAATTGACTGGAGGTGATCAGAACTCCCTAGAGCAGCAGCTTCCTCCCTGTAAGACTGGTGAACTGTGTGTCCCCAATTTGTTTACCTTTCAGCTTAATTTACCTGTTGTTAGAAGGAGCAGCTGGATGCCCCAGAGCTCATACTTCTCTTGAATGGTCTGTCCTGAAAGGGCAAAGATATGGTCCTTACGAATGAGCACTGTTGTAATTCAGCAGGCAGGCTGTGTGGAATGTCTGCTGTGATGGTGATGTTAAGGAACGAGCCGTGTTTCCGGTGGGAAGTGTGCTGTCTGTGCATTTATTTTGGAACATAAAACTAAGCACTTGAGTTACTATTGAGTGTGTATTAGTCAGCTTTCCCATTGCTGAGACAAAATAGCTAACACCTATAATTCAAAGGAACGGAGGTTTATTTTACCTCATCATTTGAGAGGGTTCAGTCCATAGTTTGGGGCTCTAAAGCAGAAACATCACGGCAAAGGGGCACAGAAGAGAGGAGCCCCTCACCTCATGACAGCCAAGGGGAGAGCAGGGGAAGAACCGCAGAGGAAGGGACCGGATATAGTCCCCAAGGTCATGGCCCCCATGACCCACTTCTTCTAGCTAGGCTCCACCTCTAATAGCCCGTTCAGCTATGAACTCATCAGTAGTTAACCCATGCTAAGGTTGGTGTCTGCACGGTTGAGTCAACTCTCCAGAATCTCTGAATCTAGCAAGTCGACAGTCAAGATTAACTGGCACATGATGTTTGACTTTTGGGGAGTGAACATTTATAACTGAATTTTTCCCTACATTTTATTTTTACTTGCAAATTACTGTATATTAAAAAGAACTCTAGTCATACTGAAGTATTAGAATCGAAGGAGAAGATACTCTTTATACCTGCCTCTGGCCCAACCATGCTCCCCAGGGGCAGTTACAGTGTCATTAGGAGTCAGGCATGTATCTTTCCAGATCTCATCTATGTGGAGAAAACACATTTGTATGTGTATATATGTGATGTGCATGCTCACATAATATATACAGACTTTGTTAGAGGAAGTATGAGCATGTGAGATACACTAATGTGCACTGGCATTTCTACTTAACTTTGTTTCACAGACTTCCTTTTTGCCAGTGGATTATGGATACAGAATCTTCTGTTTACAGATTGACACTGTCTGTAGTTTAAATGAACTGTGATTTATTTTTTTACCATTCTCTTATTGATGGACACTCGTATTGTGTGTTCTGGGTTTTAAAGATTACACATGCCCTTGATGATCCAATTTCTGTAGGCCAGTAGTTCCTTCTGAATTAGAAAGTATGTTTAATAAATGTCAATCACTGAAGAAAAGGTAATGTCACTCATGTGCACAAGCCTAGAGTATTTGCCATCCTGGGGGCCTCCGGCTCATCAAATCCTCCCCCCTGCTCATTGGCAGCCTTTGCTCTCCTTGTCTTTCAGTTCCTCGGTGGGTGGTACTTCTACGTCCAGGCCTACAAGTCTCTGCGACACAGGTCGGCCAACATGGACGTGCTCATTGTTCTGGCCACGAGCATTGCCTATGCCTACTCCCTGGTCATCCTGGTGGTTGCCATCGCTGAGAAGGCGGAGAAGAGTCCTGTGACATTTTTTGACACACCCCCTATGCTTTTCGTGTTCATTGCCCTGGGACGGTGGCTGGAACACGTGGCAAAGGTAGTTACGGTTCCTGTTACGAAAAGGACTGTTCCTCCAGGAAAACAAATCTCAGTCCATTTGAACGCGTATTGAGAATTACTAATTACACACAGTGTGGGGAAGGACTTAAGACATCTGAAACCTGCATATAATTAGGTGCTACAGTCACTAATCTCCAAATTGGTTGCTATTTCTAAAATCCCAGCTAATCTGGTTAATTATTAAAACTCACTTGGTCTTTTAGTGCCCTAGTATAGAGTGTGTTAGTGTAGGGTATTACTTCCACCTGGGGTTGTATTATTGTTAACACCCTGCATTGAACTCCTCCCTCGCGCTGGGTCCTGTGAAAGAGTGAGTGGGACACAGGCCATAAAAGACAGCAGAAGGATGTTTTCAGTGTGAAATGGAATTCCTAGAACTACATTAGTGGCCCAGGCGTTGTGTACCAGCACCTGCAGAGCCTTTGTCGCATGGGATGGCTGTGTTGGGGGACAGCCTCTTTCTGTCTGGGTCAGGACAGTCAGGTTGACATAGCTCTCATTTTCCACTCTGGTTATTTCCTAGAGCAAAACTTCAGAAGCTCTTGCTAAACTCATGTCTCTCCAAGCCACAGAAGCCACAGTTGTGACCCTCGGTGAGGACAACTTAATCCTCAGGTAGGCTGTGTTCACCAGTAGAGCACACGATCAATTCGTGTACCTGGACAATAAGCAGCCAGCACCCATCCCGCGGTTATGCTGCGCTAGACCTTGCAGAATAGGCAAGGACGCTCTCAAGGCGTCACACAAACAAAGCTTTAAGTTAAAGAACAAGCAGTGGTGTATGTACACCAGATGGGGATGAGCAGTGTAAACGTAGGAGTCCAGGAATAAGAAGAGGAGGCCAATGAGTCAAGGATGACTTCACAGAGACGTGGAATATGACTGAGCCTTGCATGGAATACGCAAGACCTGAGGATTCAAACAGGCAAGAGGGATTAGGGCTTTGACCTGTGAAAGAACAAATGAGAGTGGTAGTGTCTTCTCATAAGGCTGTCTGATATTAAAAATAATTATTATCATTATTGCTTGGGTATATAATCAAACACTATTCTAACCTCTTTGTATTTAACGTGTGCATTCACCTTGTAACTCCCCTCACCCAGGGAAAAGCCCTTTATCATGGGTTTGTTAGGGACTGTTGCTATTCTTATTTTACAGAGGAAACTGAGGTTCAGCTAGGCTGAGCAACTGACCCAGGGTCACACAGGAATTATGTAGAAGCTTGTGGATATTATGCTGGCTGTTGGCTCTGGAGTCTATGTTCTTAACTTTTTCATGTACTGACTCTTTCTTTCTTTCTTTGTTTTCAGACAGGGTCTCACTATATAGTGCAGATTGGTCTTGAACTCACTTATGTAGCCCAGGCTGACCTTGAATCATGGCAATCCTCCTGCCTCAGCCTCCCAAGTGCTGGGATTTCAGGTGTACACCACCATGCCTGGCCACATACTGACTCTTAAAGCATATTTAATAATACAGAAATTTTTACAAATTAAGTCTTCCCTGTTTCCTTGATTAGCCTTTTTTTTTTTATATTCTGGGCTGACTTAGTCACTTTTCTCATCACTGGCTCAAAATACCTGACACTCACAACTTAAAGGAGGGCAAGTTTATTTTGGCTTGGAGTTGGTAGACGTTTTAGGCCTTGCGTGGTTGGGCGGCTCCAGGCAGAGGGGCATGGTGGAGGGAAGCTGCCCACTGCATGGCATCCAGGAAACACTGAAAGGAGGGAGGAGCTGAGGAGGGGGAAGAACCCCTCCAGGCCAAGCCCCTAGTGAGCAGCCTCCTCCAGCCAGACCCCTCGGCACAGCAAGCCTGCCAGACCACCCCATAATCCCGTCGCCTTCCAAGCACGTGAGGTTTTGGGGACCATTTTTGATCTAAACCATGTCTTGGGCGATGATCATTTCAGGCTGCTTACACATTCCTGAAGTTCTGCACCCATGTACTCTTTTAGCCTGTGATTTCACTTCTGACTGCTGAGAACAGGAGGTCTTGCGTGGGGTGCCTGTCAGCTCCCTCCCTTAGTCCTGTGCAGTGAGCCTTCTGGGGCACCCCACCCCTGGGGAAGGAGGGAGTCTCCTGGTATCTCCCCAGACTCCAGCGTCTCCATCTTTGTTGACTGTCACAGACTCCAGACTCTCCCCTTGTGAAAACAAACACAGTCCATACCCCTCACCCAGTAGCAAAACTCTAAAGTTCAGTGAGGTCAAGTCACTTGGCCAGAGTCCACCGAAGGTGGCAGAACTGAGATCAGGCCCGTGGAGACACAGGGCCACTCTCTCGGCTACCATGCCACACCGTCTCCAGTCAGGCATCCTGTGTGATGACCACTTGGTGCTTTGGGTGGGCACGTGCACATGCGCACACACACACACACACACAAGCACACGGACATGCACACACAGCAGCTTTGGTGGCTCTGCAGTCTCATGCACCTTGACTTCTTTTTTTTTTCCTCTTACATATTAATGGCATGAAAATTTCTGAAAAGTGAAAGCATTTGGAGGGGGCACAGAGCCCCCGTACCTGCATTTGTGTAGCTGCACCTAGCCTCCATCTGCTCTGCAAACAACAGTTTGAAGAGCCTCTGGTGCTTCCCAGGGGCTGCTTAGTGACCTGGACATGAGCAGATTGTGTCCTGCCAGGTGGCACCAGTCAGCTGAGAGGCCAAGGGAAGTGGGCTGCACCTGCCATTACTCAGTTCTTTTCAAAGAAGGCGATTCTTTTTTTTTTTTTTTTTGCCTGTGAACACACAGTGGACCTGACCAACAACAGGATGCTACCGTGTTTTCATCAGGGAGCCAGAGTTCATTGTGACTTTGCCTAAGGTGGGCGGTGTGCTCAGATCGGGTCCGTTTACGCTGCTTTGCATGTTCAGGGTCCTTCCTCCACACCCTCCTGAACAGGAAGCTCCAGGCTCCTGGTCACCCCGCTTTCCCAGGGGTATGGCCACTTGCCCTGCCACCTGTATTGGCACTGTCGCCTGGAGAGGCTGACCATGTGATAACATGAGGTGTGCCAGGTACCAGGGCCTCCAGCCCCCTCTGCCTCCTGCTCACCTGCTCCGACCTCTGCTTGTGTGCACAGGTTCTTGGTACTGCCTGGCGCCCACTGGAGTTTCCTGTATGAGATGGACCCTTTAATGAGGCTATCGCCTCTCCTTGCCTCTGTCCCTCTGCTGGGGACACCTGTCCTTTTTTCTTTATCCCAAGTTTAGGTGGTAGGACATTTTACATTCATGGCCTTTTGGCATGTGATAATGTTTTGTTTGTTTGTTTGTTTCTTTTCTTTTTGAGACAGGGTGTCCCTATGCAGCTCAGGCTGGCCTTGACCTCACTTTGTAGCCCAGGCTGGTCTTGAACTCACAACAATGCACCTGTCTCAGCCTCCCAAGTGCTGGGATTACAGGCGATAATGTCTTTACCCTGCTGCTGCTTATCTCCTCTGTGGGTCTCCTTCATTCTCCTTAGTGCCGTAACTGTGCTATAGACTGTCACTGGGACACGTGCTCTCCCTGTGTCTTGTGACACAAGCCTCGTGGGACTCATTTTCAGGCCTCTCTCTAGCCACACCCATAGAGCTTTCTCTTCGTGGCTAACTTCCCCGCCTCGCCACTCTCCTGCTCCCCTTGAGAGGAATGGCGGGCCTCCTCCCTGGCGCGCTCCACAGGTCCTGGGGCTGATCCTGGACTTCTTTTGTGGCTCCCTTTCTTCCTCCATTGCACTTTGGCCTCTGACCTCTTGGTTCTTGCTTGTCCGTCTCCTGCTCCCCCCATTGGCTCACGTGTGCCCAGGGCTGTTGCCTTGTTCCGGCCAGGCATGGTTGATGCAGTCCCCTCATTGGCCACCTGCCGCCAGCCTTGCCTCCTTCAAAATATTTTTCCACATTCAAACCAGTGACCTTTCTGAAGTGCAAATCTGATTGTGTTTCTCTGGTGGAAAGTCTCCCAGTGAGTCCCTGTTGTCATAGGGTAAAATCCATGCTCTCCAGCGTGGCAGTGAGACTCTGCCCCACATGCTTCTCATGCGCAGTCTCTGTCTGTTGCCAGGTATAAAGCAACAACAGCTGACCTCTGGTAGCCATGGGGACCCCACAGATAACCAGAACCTCCCAGGGCTCCTATAAAATGGCATAGTATTTGCATATAACCTGCTTCCTCCTGTATACTTTAACTCACTTGTACATAACTTACAGTACCTACTACAATGTAAACGCTATGTGAAGCGTTTTGTAGCGTATTGCTCAGAATAATGACAAGAAAAGAAGTGTGTATGTTCGGTACAGATGAAAATGTATTTGCCCCGAATGTTTTGGAAGCCAGTTTGGTTGAGCCTGTGGACTCAGAGCGCACAGGCACAGGGGGCTGGCTGTATATGGAACTAGTCCAACAGTTGACCCAGAACCGGGCCTGGTAGGGGTGGGGGGTGCTTCTGTAAGGGGCTGGGTGTGACTTGGGGGGCATCTGTTGCAGAGAGGAGCAAGTGCCCATGGAGCTGGTGCAGCGGGGTGATGTCATCAAGGTTGTCCCAGGGGGGAAGTTCCCAGTGGACGGGAAAGTTCTGGAAGGCAACACCATGGCGGACGAGTCCCTCATCACAGGTCAGGTGGCTTGTTTCATGTTCCCTGTGCCAGGTAGCATATGATGTGAAGGGGGGCCGAGCAAGTGACAATTCTCTCTTCTTTCCCCCTAGGGGAAGCCATGCCTGTCACTAAGAAACCCGGGAGCATGGTGATCGCCGGGTCTATAAACGCTCACGGCTCTGTGCTCATTAAAGCCACTCACGTGGGGAACGACACTACTTTGGCTCAGATCGTGAAACTGGTGGAAGAGGCTCAGATGTCAAAGGTAGTGAAGAAGCTCAAAACGTGGCGTGACTTCAGCTCCCTCATTTGCACAGAGTAAACAGTTAATTATAAAGATCAATAAGTAAATGTAGTTAATGTGGAGGCCAGGGCCCAGTCCTTCCCCGTGCTTGCGGTGTTTTATGGCTGCAGTTTGTAATTTCACGTGATCTTGATGTTTTATTTTCATAGGCACCCATTCAGCAGCTGGCTGACCGGTTCAGTGGCTATTTTGTCCCGTTTATCATCATCATTTCAACTTTGACGTTGGTGGTTTGGATTGTAATCGGTTTTATCGATTTCGGTGTTGTGCAGAAATATTTTCCTGTAAGTTGAATGCTTTGAGCAGTATGGTTGTTGTGTTTTAAATAATTTATTGTCATGAATTTGATTCATTCTTATCTTAGATTCCCCTGGGCTTTAATTACCCACTATGTTTGGTTTCCTTCATTTGTTGACAGTAAAATCTAAATTAGGTTAGGACAATTAATTGGTTGCTCTGTTTCTACAAGTTTGTATAAAGTTGCCTTTCGTATCTACTTAGGTAATTTCCATGGACATCAGTTGGTTCTCATAATGCTTAAGGCATTTACAGTATGTAGTACTGGCCATTTCTGAAGTTAAGAGGTATATGTCATGGAAGATAGGCTGCTTCATAATTTTGATGGTAAAGCCAGGCATAGTGGCTCACACCGGTAATCCCAGCACTTTGGAGGCTGAGGCAGGAGGATCGTTGTGAGTTTGAGGCCAGCCTGGGCTACAATGTGAGCTCAAGGCCAGCCTGAACTGTATAGTGAGACCCTGTCTCAAAAAGACAAAATAATAATAATAATTTTGATGGCATGGTAACATTGTTTAATAGATTTTAAGAAAATTTTTTTTTGCTGTCTGTATTCACTGATACGATCTTCAGCCTCCTACTTCCCCAAGTCATAGTACTTTCTAGTATTTTTGATGAAAGACTGCATGCCAGTATAGGCCAAGCTTTTTAATAATTAAATGCCTAACATTGTAGGTACATGAAGAACACTACCTTGGGAAATACTGTTTTATCAAGCTTAGAAAACAATATGGAAAATGCAGTCCCCCAGAAAACTTAACCTGCGTCAGTGATTGTCAGGGACGATATCTGAACACATTTTTGGTCTTCACAAGTGGTGTGGATGCAACATGCATCTACTGTGGAGAAACCAGGACACTGCTAAAAGTTCTGTGAGGCACAGGATGGGTCCCCACGATGATGATGGCATTGGTGCAGGAACTGAAAAACCTTAATGTACCTGAAAAGCTCATGGCCTGCAGAGAGCTGTGTTGGAACAGTGTTTTACTTCGTCTCATCCCTAGCCCAGTATAGTACTTACTTTAGAGCCATGGAATAAGAAACTGCAAGTATAGGATGGAATTTTTTCTTTTTAAAAATTTTCTACATATAACTAAAGGTACACCAAATGTTCTTAGGGTACATGTCATTTACTAAGATGTCATTTTCTCCCTTAACTTTTCTATCTTAAATGGAAAACAGCCAAGTTAAGCATTTTCTGACATCTAAGGAGACCTCAGTGTTTTTAAGAATAAGCTATGAGTATATCTTAGAATTTATCAGTGACTATTCACGGCACCTGACCGCCTAACATTTCTGCTTTTTGGGGAGAACTCATTGGCGTGGGGCTGTGGGAAGACAGGACTAAACAAGTCGGAATGTGTGACTTTCTGCTGTCTCAGGCTTTCCATCTTACTTTGGCTTCTTTTGTTTTTATCTGCACAATCAGGGAGGATGCTGGCCAGTGAGGTACTGCATGTTCCTTTAAGATACTGTCGTCCCTCTGTGGCATAAACTCGTTGTAGGAAAGGTTCACGTTAACTTCTAGAACTCCACCTGATGTTACCAGAATGCCTGGTGGTATTAACAAGAATTATTCAGTTTAGGAAAAAATGACATCTTTTTCTCAAAAATTATATCTTATCTACCTAAATACAACTTTTTATGAGAATTAGAATACACATTATTTTTAAAAAAATAATGTACCTTATTTTAGAATCCTGCTTTTCAAAATCAAAGAATAAATTGTAGATGGAAGGTAAAGAGATTGTAGTCTGTGACCTCAATTTAGAAAATGTGCTTTTTGGGGCTGGGGATTTAGCTCAGCGGCAAAAGCGCCTGCCTGGCAAGCGCAAGGTCATGAGTTCGGTTCCCGGTACCAGAGAAAAACCAAAAAAAGAAAATGTGCTTTTTTCTGTAATTACACAAATGTTAGACTCCATAGCTAATAGCTATTTTGAAAAATAAACCAAAGTAATTCAAGATCTCAGAGTATAAATACTGATACCAACTTGTGCCACCACATCTACAAAATAGACTCATATTTTGAGGGGGGTTTACAAAGAAAACAGTCAGGGAAAATATAGAAAATAAAATAAAAATGGCACCAAAGCCTTTCCCTAGAAGTCATGGTTTTTGCTCATCTTTCCAGGGTTCTATTCCAGGTAGAGGCAGGGGATTTTGCATGAGTAAAATCACAGCACTTGTCTTTTCATATCTGCCCTGTAAATTCTGCTGCTTCCATGTCTGTAGATGTAGATATGCATCATCATTCCAGAGGCTGCCTAATATTCCATTACATGCTGCTTAATTAATTAATCTCCTGTTATTTCCAGGTTTGTAACCATTTACAGAAACAAAACAAAGCATAGTGATAGATATCCCTGTATCTTTTCTAATTGTGTGATTATTATTTTAGGATAGATTCTTTGGCGGTACATCCGTTTTTAAATTTACATAAGAATAATGATAAAATAATCATAATAGTTTGATACCTCTCCTATGCCCAATGTTATACTCTGTATATGTTTGTGTTTATATGTATTTTGCCTCATTCAACCTGTAAAACAACATATGAGCCAGCTGAGTGTTATCAACTCCATTTTGTATATGGGGAAACTGAGGCACAGAGAGGTGAGGTTAGCATTAGAGTCAGATACAAATTGTGTGGTCTGACTCCCAGATTTTTGCTTCAGCCCCATCAGAGATTTTTATGATTGTTTTCTGGTCCTGCCTGTCAGAGGGGACCCTGTAGGATAAAGTTGGGACATTGAGATGTGGGGCCATGAAGTGAACCCCGTGATACCGAGGCAGCCAGAATACAGCTGTGTTTCCTAAACCCAGCTCACTGTGCTGTCTCAGGCCCCACCACCCCCACTGAGATGTCCTGCTATGGTGAGGATTCTGTGAGACCCCACACTGCGCTCTCAACCTGCCTATCTTCCCCCTTCAGAGCCCCAGCAAGCACATCTCGCAGACAGAGGTGATCATCCGGTTCGCCTTCCAGACATCCATCACTGTGTTGTGCATTGCCTGCCCCTGCTCCCTAGGGCTGGCCACACCCACGGCCGTCATGGTGGGAACCGGGGTGGCTGCCCAGCATGGCATCCTCATCAAGGGAGGCAAGCCTCTGGAGATGGCGCACAAGGTGGGTGGCTCTGGAGATGGCGCTCAGGGTGGGGGGCTCTGGAGATGGCTCTCCAGACCAGGCTCTGGAGATGGCACTCAGGATAGGCCCTCACCAGGCTCTTCCTGCCTGCTTTTGGGCCTTGGTTGACATTTTCCTTAAGAATCCTAATGAGAATGTATCTATTCACTTTTTTTAATTAAGAGAAAAGCCTGAGAGCAACCTGAGAGGGCAGCGGTGTTAATAACGTAGACTAGGTAGCCAAGGCTGACTGAGACAAGAATGGCAAAAGTAGCAGCAGTTAACAGATGATTAAGAGCTTTGTGAAGATTCACTGGTTCCGTCTCAGAAATGGCTGTTTGCCCTGTTTGCTATAGGTGCTTTTTATTCCCAGTTTACAGTGAGGGAGCTGTAGCAGAGGAGTTAGGCCATTCCAAGGCGTGCAGCTGTCACAGGGTGGAGACAGGGTCACCCCCCGTAGTCAGGCTCCAGGAGACAAAGCCAGCTCACGTCTGTGGGCTTAGTGACAGGGTCCTGTGACGCTGGGGCTAGATGGCGAGCAGCAGTGTGCCTGAAGAGTCTTCCTTCTGCCTAACACACCAGCCCCTGACCTTTTGCACCCCCATTTATTTTTATTCATTGTCAAGTGCTAACTGCCAGGGGAGTGGGCCGTCTGCTCAGTTCTGGCAGTGGTCACAGTACTCAGCTTCCAAGGCTGACAGTGCAGTGGGACAGACAGGAGTTGAATGGCCAACTGCTTCAAGAGGGTGAGTTGCTGTAAGGGCGCTGTAGTAAGGCCTGCTTACTTGGCAGTGAGGGCTGGTGCAGGTGGCTAAGGAAGGTGCCCCTGAGACCCGCCAGTTCAGCTAGAACTACTCGACAGAGGGTGGGGAGACCGCTCCAGCACTGGGCACAGCAGGTAGAAAGTGCCGGGGGAGGCAATGCTGCTGTGTGATAAGCTCTGTAAGATCAGGGGCCAAGCTTTCCCTCAGCACCGTGTCCTCAGCCTTTAGCCTAGGATGTGGCACACTGAAATTACTTGCAGGTTACTTGCTGAACAGATAAATAGTGAAACCTTTTAAAACATCAGGGAGAGAGAGTAGAATTGTGTGTATGTAGATGAGGCTGTTGAGGGAGGGGCGAGCCTACAGAGCCTAGATTGGGTAAAGAGCACGCTGCCCTAAGATGAAGGCAGCGTGGCGGGGGAGGATGTACGCTCGGTGACCAGGTCGCATGCTAGGAAGAGTGATCTGGCTGCACAGTGAAGGATGGACTGCAGGAGGCGGGAATCTTTGGAGGAGATGGTTGAGGGTGTTGAAAGAAGGCTACTGTGCATCATAGGAGTCCAAACAGCAAGAGTTGCTTCCGAATCAGGGAGGATGACGGAGCTGTGGAACACGGTCCAAACAGGGCAGCCAGGTGCCCTTAGATGAGGTTTGGGGAGGTGCACAGTCCAGGTGCCGGACTCACAGAAATAACAGGTAAGCCTCAGAGGTGCAGGTGCCTGAGTGATCGCTGGACGATATCTGAACCTGGACACTTAAGACCAGGGCAAAGCTGCCCTTGACCATGTGGCGTGGATTTACTTGAACTCAGATTGTGCAGACTTTTTTCTAGTAGGCTTTTGCACTTAGGCAAGCAGAAGACAGTTATGCCTTGGTAGATAGGGACAGTGGGGAGTAGGGGACAGGAGACAAGAGGACCCTTGGGCCTGACTCCTGACCTGAACCAAGAAAAAGTCTATGTATAGTGTCATGTCTTGGAGACAGCCAAGGAAGGTTCTGGCTGGACCGGGTTGGGCGAGCCACAGTGCATGTGTTTTGATGGGCACATGGGGACCACTTTCTTTGTAGTAAAGATAAATCCCCAGGTTGCCTGTGGAACATCAGGTTAGGAAATTATGTTGCGGTGATTTTACATGTTTGACGCAGGTAGGTGAAGCTCTGCCTCAAGATGGTGTGGACTCTGGGAACCCGGCTGTCTGGGTTGCATCACTGAGACATGGTTGTTTTGGCAGATAAAGACCGTGATGTTTGACAAAACTGGCACCATTACCCACGGGGTCCCCAGGGTCATGCGAGTCCTGCTGCTTGTGGACGTGGCTACGCTGCCCCTCAGGAAGGTTCTGGCTGTGGTGGGCACTGCGGAGGCCAGCAGCGAGCACCCCCTGGGCCTGGCAGTCACCAAATACTGTAAAGAGGTACGTAGACCTCAGCGTTGCTGTGCACCCGCCGCCTGGCCTGGCCCTCCCGCCTCACCACATGCCCTGCTGGGATCCCAGCTGTCCGGGGGGCCTTTGCCTGTGGTGGGAGAGGCTCACAGTTGGCCCTGTCACAGTTCCTGGCTACCACAAAGGCAGAGCAGTGTCACGGCCACTTGCTGAGCATGTGTTTGGTGCTGGACTCGGGACAAAACCAGTGAGATGTGCCCTGTGCCCTTGGGGAGCTTTGGCCTGAAGCCGGGGGGAGAAAGGTAGTCTAAAAATACAGGCTTTCGTGAGGCTTAGTGCCAGGGGACACGTGAAATGGGAGTGGGGGACCCGGGGCTGAGCCAGCAGGGTGAGCCAAAGGCCCTGGGAAGCAGTAGCCTCCTCCCCGTAGGAGAGGGCCTCTTTCATTCTGTTTGGCAGACTGTGCTGGGTGCTAGGCTGACAGATTGTAAAGTGCCTGCAGAGACCCCGTCTTGGTAAGTATAGACGGGAGACACGGCACCTCTTTCAGAAAGCTCGTTTCTTGTTTTCTCCTTCATATGGGCACAGCTCCTTGCCCGCTGATGTCTTCCTGGCAGGTCAGGGGAAGGTCGTGCACTCCCGAGTGGCCCTCCCTGCTGCTTTGCTCACCCACTTCCGTGCCTCCTCTCGACTGCCTCTCCAGGATCTGACATATGCAGAGCTATCTCGATCACCTCAAAATAGCTTTGCCACCTGCCATGTTACCCCATCACTTTTATGAAATTATTTGCAACATAAAAATTGCTTTCTTTGAAATGTGCAGCATGAACTGAGGCATCTGCCTAGGGTAGGTTAGGCTGCCTAATCTTACTCAGTTTAGCAACTGTTGCCAAGTTAGCAGTCGATTTCCTAAGCTTTCCTTTCAATTCCACTTCCCTGCTTCCTCTCACTGCCCAGCCCAGCGTCTGTCCTGCCCCTCGCTGCGTTCTCATCCCTCTGCCTCTTCCCTGCTTTCCAAGGAACTTGGAACAGAGACCTTGGGATACTGCACGGACTTCCAGGCGGTGCCAGGCTGTGGAATCGGCTGCAAAGTCAGCAATGTGGAAGGCATCCTGTCCCAGAGTGAGCGCCCACCGAGTGGGCAGGCTGGGCAGCTGAATGGGATTGGCAGCCCTCCAGGAAAAGGTATCCCTGCTCTTCGTCCCTGAGCTCCCTGCCTGGCCCTCCTGTGGGGGCTTGTGGCTGGGCATTCCACATCGGCCTCCCTCAGGAAAGCCCACAGTTTCTCTCTGGCGTACTTGGATGCATCTAAACTCTGGTGTTTCTGGCAGGCCAAAGTAATGTTGACTTACCTCCATAGAGGTCGCTTCACTGATCTGTAATTTAGAGTTTCCTCTGTTAGAGCCCAAATCGATCATACTTCTTAAAAGCTTCTAGGTGAACAGGTGAGACCTACCATCATTCTCTCTGTTTCCTTCCTACCCGGGGGAACTTGTGCGGGGTGTGCAGCGTTTACCTAGCTGACAGAAAGTTAGGGAAGCAGGTGCAGTGGTCTGCTCCAGGCAAGAAGGGTTGCTGCTCAGAGTGGGAGCTGCCTTTCCTGGTCTAAGCACAGCTTGCCAGCTATAACTTTGAGTGGAAAACACCCAGAACCTCAGAAACTTGTGTTGAGTGTTTTTCCTTAAGTATGCTAGCAGCTAAATCTTGATTTAAGTGATGTTGTGAGAAGCCACCTCCACCTTCTAGCAATTGAAAAGCCCAGGGTAACCTCAGAGGATTCGGAGATGGGTGAACACAGGGCCCTTCAGGGACATGCTCCATGAGGAGGTGACATGAAAGACCCGCCTGGTCTTTTTGGAGGCATAGTTTTGAAACGTGTCTTAGAAAAGTAGGCTGACCTGATTATTTATTGATTGATCTTGGGTTATTAGTGAGTCTAGTCACACTTGCTAGGGTCAGGACAGCAACATAACTGCCTCGGAGCCCCATAGAAGAATCAACAGATACCTTAAAGGCAATAATAATAAGGGTACTACACAGTGATTAGTATGTCTACAGCATTTTTACACGTGTGCCATGTACTGCTCATGCCCTATTTAATTTACACCCATGTGTTCTACACATCTGTTGTACCTTTTCCCTGGTCCTCTAAGGATGTTGCTACAAGAGTCAGCTACAGGTCATAGTCTTTCATGATGTCTAAATGGCTGTTATGCTGTTAACAAGGATTCCCAAGTTTTAGTCGATCTCGAAGTCAGACTATTAGAATTCCTTTCTTTGAATAGATGCAGCGCCCCAGACCTACTCTGTGCTGATTGGAAACCGTGAGTGGATGAGGCGCAACGGCTTAACCATCTCCAGCGACGTTAGCGATGCCATGATCGACCACGAGATGAAAGGACAGACGGCCATCCTGGTGGCGATCGACGGTATCTCCCGGCCCAGCCGTCCTTCTGCTCTTGCGGAATGCATTTTCCTGGGCATGTCGGGCAAAAGAGGCTCTTCCTCCCTCGTTCTTTCCCTCCCTCCCTTCTGTGTCCTCCCTTCCTTCTCCTGAGGTCTTTTCTTCCTCACTGTCTCTGCCTTGGCCCGGAGCCAGCTCTGCTGTCTGCCAGCCCACGTGTTCTTGGAATGCTAACTGTATTCACTGCCATCTTTGCTCCTGCCCCGACTGGCACTTTAAAGTGACCCTTCGTACTCGACAGTACAGACACCCAGGAACCCTCTTCCCAGAAGGTGTGCCGTAGGGTGCCTTTAAATAATGAGGCGCCTGCGGCTCTCCAGCACCTGACTTGCAACAGACTGGTGTGCACAGAGCTCCTGTGACTCTGTGTCTGCACCCCCGGGTGTACCCTGGGCTGTGCACCTCAGAGAGAGCAGAGCTTCACTTTCTTCATGCCGGTTTCTGCTGCTAGAAGTCAGACTCTGCTGCACAGAGCTGATAGCATGGCACTGCATTCTGAGTGCTCCAGCCAAATGTCCTCCTCTCTCATTCTCTCGCCTTCCTTCTCGGAAGTCCTCACGAACAAACCCTCAGCCTCCTCAGCTCAGGCTGGGATCGGCAGAAGTAGGGAAGCCGGCCTTGCCAAGCACGCTTCTCTCGCTCAGAATCTTCCTGTGTCTGTAAAGATGCAGTCCGCTGGATGCTGAGGCAGGAGGATCACAAGTTTGAGCTCAGCCTGGGCAATTTATACGGAATATTTTTATAGGAAAAAGGAAGAGTTCATTTTCTAGTTTGGATGTCCATCCCTTTAACATTTGTTGTATTTCTCGTATTTTAATAGCAAACATGTAAAACAGGTATTGAATTCTTATGCCATAGGCCCTTTGTAAGATAACATATGGGACTGGTAGGAAAATTTGGAAAAGTTAGAGGGTTGTAAAGAATACGGTGAAGTCATTTAGAGTTCTACCCCTCTAGTGGCCATTGAGAATTTTCAGTCTCCTTCCAGACCTCTGCATGCCTCTGGAACCCAAACCATAGCGTATTACGCACTTCGGTGTTTTGTTTTCGTACGTAACGGTGTATGATGGGAACTGCAAATCCTCACGTCCTGCGTGCAGCCCTGCGCCTTTGCCGACTGTGTGGTTTGCTCCAGGTGTGCTCTGTGGGATGATCGCCATCGCAGACGCTGTCAAGCCAGAGGCCGCCCTGGCGGTGCACACACTGAAAAGCATGGGTGTGGACGTGGTCCTGATCACAGGGGACAACCGGAAGACAGCCAGAGCCATTGCCACCCAGGTACGGCTGGGGACCAGTGCTGCCTTTCTCCTTGAAGATTACAGATTACGTCAGTACACAGAAACAGACACAAAGCAAGCACCCGTGCATCAACGCGCAGCTTTGCTCCGCTCTTCTGCCCTGCTGTGCACGCCTGCAAAAGCAGTCCCGTGCTCTTTGACCATTTCCCCAGATGGCTGCGGGCTGAGGGCTAACATAAAAGTGGTCTAACCTTTGAGTTCAGAGAGCATTTTGCTGGCTCAGCCCACTTGTACGCCCCGAGGAGTGCCTGGATTCTGGGCATTTCTTCAGCAGTCTTTGGTTCATGAGGACAGCACAGTGCTGACCCCAACACAGCAGCGGCTCTGGCGTGGATTCCTGGAAATGGTGCTCCTGCCCAACCCCACTCTCACACCTGTGTGCACACGTACATACCCGTGAAAGGTAATTGCTTCTTAGGGAGAAGCAGCAGTACCTCTGTTGTGCATGGCCTGCCTGCCTGCCTGCCTTCCTTTCTGCCTTCCTTCCTACCTGCCTTCCTTCCTTCCTTCCTTCCTGCCTGCCTGCCTGCCTGCCTGCCTGCCTGCCTGCCTTCCTTCCTTCCTGTCTGCCTGCCTGCCTGCCTTTCTGCCTTCCTTCCTTCCTGCCTGCCTGCCTTCCTACCTGCCTTCCTACCTGCCTGCCTGCCTGCCTGCCTGCCTTCTCATGGACTTGCTGAGCGTCTGCCTCCTTTTCCCAGTTAAAACTTGTTCATCCCGCCCACAAACACTGAGCACCATGAAGGCAGCAGACAGGCACAACGGCAGGTTGTGGGGCTACAGAGAGGAGTGATGCGCGGCCCTGCCTTTGAAGGGTGTGTGACCTGCGGGAAGCATGGACCCATGACCCAGTGTAGCCTTGAATGCTCAGGGCTCCAGCAGAAGTGTGCAGGTGGCCCAGGGCTGCCAAGGAGCAACCCTCCCTTAGCCTGGCAGGGGCAGGGGATCGCTTCCCAGGGGAGGCGCTGCTTGAGTCAGGAGTTGGTCAGACGCAGACATGGGGGGAAGCACGAGGAGAGTGACCCCTTCCCAGCGAGAGCAGCCAGCCTGAGTCTCACCCGGGGTGCAGAGTGGTGCAGGAGCTCGTACATGCCATTGCTGCTCGTGGTACAGTCTGAGTGTGGCACCAGCTGCGGGCCGGGAGGTAGAGGCAAGGTCTAGGTGGGCCGTGCAGGCAGACCCCTGAGAGTTTAGATTTCGTCCTCAGGATCCACTGGAGAACCGAAGCATGACAGCAACACAACCAAACGGTTGCTGTCCTGGACAGATGGCTAAGATGACACGCAGAAGAGCTGGGTGGCCAGGCTGGGGAAAGGCAGACCAACAGGTGGCCTAAACCAGGGGAGAGCCCAGGGTGGGAGCATGCAGCCCGCTTGCCCTGTGACCTCGAGTCTGCAGGACTTGGTTGACGGAGATGACTGGCTGGACCTGGGGAAGAGGGGAGAGGAACAGGGGTGACTCTTGGTTTATCCTGCTGTTTGGTGTCCTTTGCCGACACTGATGATTTCCTCTCCCTTTAGGTTGGTATCAACAAAGTCTTTGCAGAGGTGCTGCCTTCTCACAAGGTGGCCAAGGTTCAGGAGCTCCAGAATGAAGGGAAGAAAGTCGCCATGGTGGGAGATGGGGTAAACGACTCCCCAGCCTTGGCCCAAGCCGATGTGGGCATTGCCATCGGGACCGGCACAGACGTTGCCATCGAGGCGGCCGATGTGGTTCTCATCAGAGTGAGTTTGGCTACATCCAGGTGGCGGTGAGGGGCGGGGGCAGTGGGCCAGGCCCTTTATGCAGCATGCCCCTATCCTATAGAACGACTTACTGGACGTGGTGGCCAGCATTCACCTCTCTAAAAGGACCGTCCGCAGGATCCGCGTCAACTTGGTGCTGGCACTGATTTACAACATGGTGGGGATACCCATCGCTGCAGGTAGGCTGGGGTGGGGTGCTCTCACCTGCTGCGCCACGTTTGGTCTCAGCTCTCTGCCAGGTCCCTGCTGAGCTTGGTGAGCTGCACAACTCCCTGGCTGGCTGGCTCGCTAGGCACAGTGAGTGTCAAAATATATGTTGCTAAAGGTAAAAGAGAAACTGCTGAGAGAACTCTCGAGCTTGATTCACGCTGGTGCTTTCTCAAAAGCTGGTCAAGGTGCACGGCCACTTATTTACTGTGGCCCTCTTTTCTGAACCACTTATTAAGACATATGTTCTGAAGAATGGTGTTCCAGGGAGGCTGCTTTGTGCTGGACACAGTGAAGGGTGTCGCACAGCCTTGTCTTGAAAATGACCAATGTCTGGGTTTTACTCTGACTCACACAAATGACTGTGGAGAGAATTGGTTTTTCCTGTTTTGTCATTCCTCCCCGTCCTGCCTTTGAATCCTGTGAACCAAGCGGGGAGATATTCCAGACACTTGTGCAAGGCAGCACTTCTGCATGGGCCGAGGGGACCTGAAGTTCTTAACTAGGACCTTCCTATCTCAGTTTCCCTGTTGTGTCCAAGTGGTTAGTGGCGACTCCCGTAACAGCCATTGTCAAGCCTGCCTTCGCCTGCAGACCCTGGGAGCCAGGCCGGTGCTCTTCCTGCCCCAGAGGTGGCTCAGGAGCTTAATTCCCTCCTGTAGCTGCACCTCTGCCACAGACAGTAGCCATCCCTTGAGAGGCCCGAGTCCCCTGTGTGCCTGGGGCCTGGCTGTCGTTTCTCGCTTGCAGAGCAGTAAGAAGCTCCGGAAGGCAGATGGTCTGTGCAGATGAGGCCTGTGGCCACGCGCAGCATTTATCCCCTGGGACTGAGTCTCCAGCACAGCTGGTTCCTGGAGCTCTGCTGTTTCCCTTCTCCCTCTGTGCCTGCTCCTCCCTGTCGCTATGGCTCCTTCTCCGGGAGCCAGGCAGTGCCCCCTGTGCACGGCTGGGCAGGGCAGGTGGAAGCAGCCCAGTTCCTCTCGACAGCACCCACTGCCAGCTTTCTTGATGGCTTACCTCAGGGCTGGGGACAGGGTCCTCTGGGTGCCCACGGAGGGAACTCCTGGAGGCGGCTGCGGGTGGGTCCCTGCTGTACCCCGGGCGGCAGGTGAGTGCACGCCCTCCCTTGGCAGGTGTCTTCATGCCCGTCGGCATCGTGCTGCAGCCGTGGATGGGCTCAGCGGCCATGGCGGCCTCCTCCGTGTCTGTGGTGCTCTCTTCTCTGCAGCTCAAGTGGTGAGTCCTGGCCGGGAGCACTTGCCCGAAGGTCTCCCAAGGCCCTTCACCCCCTGCGCCCGCTTCCTGGGTGAGGGTGGGTGCGTACCCTTCTTCCTGTGCTCCTCAGGCCGCACCGCAGGGCAGCCCGAGTGGTGTGTACGGCGATTTGCCCGCAGTGTGCGGTCTGCCCTTAGCAGCTGCCATGTGCCAGGCTGTTCTCACCCTTGTGCTTGGTGGCTCTTTGCTCAAATACGTGTAGACATGGGATCCCTGTGTGTCGGTATTTTGCCTTTTTAAAAAAGATGTTTATTTGTTTATGCATTTGCTTAGCAAAAGGGTTTTTTTTTATTGTTTTTTGTTTTGTTGTTGTTTTGTTTTGTCTTATTTTTTTGAGACAGGGTCTCACTGTATAGCCCAGGCTGGCCTTGAACTCACTATGGAGCCCAGGCTGGTGTCAGACTCACACCAATCCTTCTGCTTCAGCCTCCCAAGTGCTGGGATTACAGGCATTTGCCACCATGCCCAGCACTTAGCAAAAGTTCAGGCAGCCTATGTTGAGGGTACTTGCCTAGGAAACTTCAAATCATGCGGACTTTACTTGAACATGGGAGTTCAGTGTCCTTTCCCTTTCAGACCTATCAGGTTTTGATGCTGCATGTGATAGAAAAACCTGCTTGAGAGGCCTTCCCCAGGCTTCAAAAAGAACAGGGGACCTTACGTCCAGAGTGCCTCACATGCTGTCGTTCTCGCTTTCCAGCTACAGGAAGCCCGAGCTGGAGAGGTACGAGGCGCAGGCCCACGGCCGCATGAAGCCCCTGAGCGCGTCCCAGGTCAGCGTGCATGTGGGCATGGATGACTGGCGGCGAGACTCCCCCAGGCCCACGCCCTGGGACCAAGTCAGCTACGTCAGCCAGGTGTCTCTGTCCTCGCTGACGTCCGACAGGCTGTCTCGGCACAGTGCCACCATGGATGATGGCGGGGACAAGTGGTCTCTGCTCCTGAATGACAGGGACGAGGAGCAGTACATGTAAAAGCTCTGGGAGCGCAGATCCGGGCCGGGCCTGGGCCAGCTCCTCCCGTGGGAGCTCACCTTGCCGGCTGCGGTTGAGGCAGGCATGGTATAAACAGCACGTGGGGGCGAAGCTTGCCCACGTTTTGGGACCTCTCGTTCCCTGGGTGTTTCCGGCGTGCCTCCCTGCCGCTCCGGGTTCTGCTGAGGTGCCGTTGGAAGGGGCTAGGTGGGACAGCCCTGTGTGGGTCCCGCTGGTGCAGGGCGGGGTCCTGGGCTTCACGTGCTGCCGGGGACGGCAGAAGAGGAGAGGAAGTCAGTGCTCCTCCCAGACCTCTGCGATGGCACCTGGGAGGACTACTTGAGAAATGAAGAAGCTTGCTAGGATCAAACTCCTGGCTGGGCCTCTTAGCAGAGCTTGTAGTGAGGCTGTCTTTGACCTTGTCCGCATGCCCTGAGACCACCGTTTACCTCAAGTTGCTGTCCGCTGGCACAGACTCTTCCTTTGCTCCCCGTCTCTGTGCTTGGTGACCTCCACACAGAGGCGGGACTGCTGCCCTCCGGCATCTGCCCTGCTCTGGCCCATGCACTTGGCCTGCGCCTGCTCCCTGGCCGCACCCCTGCTTGTGAGCTCACCACACCTCCTTAATACCCAGGAGCCCGCTTCGTTGCTGAGTGGCTCCTGCAAGCCCTCCCGCAGCTGCTGTCCTGCTAGTGAGGCCTCTGAGCCTGACTAGGAGTCCAAATTCAGCTTCCTTTGAGGTCCTAGGGCTCATGAGCCTGGACACTTGCGTGTTCCTGTGCCTGGGGACCTCCCTGTTACCTCAGGCTCTGGGGCCTGGAGTCCCGGGAGCCCCTGGCGTGTGTGCCTAGTGGAAATGTCCTGTGAGAGCACAGCAGTGCCCCACGTGAGCCCTGTGCCTGCCAGGTGGACACAGGCTGTAGCTCCCCACGGCAGTGTCTGGGTTTTTTTGTTAAAACAGCTATAAAAATACCACTACGTTGATTATCTTTATTTCACAAAGGTACACAGATACATTTAATAGAAAAGTTCGTGCATCCTGTGGCTTCTGCACACTTCCCCACTAAAGGATTCTGTGAGAGGCTGTTGTCCCTCGCGGTTCAGAGAAAGTTTAGATGGCTGATGTTTGCGAGAGCCCAACTCTTCCTTCTTTCTACCCAGCAAGTGAGTCTTTTCAGAAGTCTTGCCTGGTGTTCTCTTTGTTTGCCTCTCGCTGTTGCTGCTTAATTGATAGATTTCATTTTCTAGTTGTACAACAGTCCGTTGAGTCTCGTAATTTTTACTGACCAGTAGATACCCACTCTGGCTCTGTTTCCCCAGTTTAGAACCAGCTGTGAGTTGCATGTCCTTTTGCTGCCAGTTTAAGTCTTGAGTCCGTTTCCTGATCTTCTGAAGCTCTTTCTGTGTGTGTTCAATCAGATGAACTGGATTTTCATAACTGTCCAGGCGTCACATCCGTGCTGTGATGTTCGTTCCAGATTCTCAATTTGAGCTGCTTGATGCTCTAATTGGGCCTTCGAATTGTTTACACATTCCTGCCCTGCAGTAATGTCTTATTTCTGGCCTGAGGAAGGGCTAGACGCTCAGATCATGTCATACTGAGCAACTCAACCGGTTGTCAGTTTCAACAGTGGAATAAGCTGGGGCTGTTAAGTAGCTCAGGTAGTTCTTAGTAGGTTGGTGTCTGAGTTTCCTCCTTTACCAGACCACAGCTGCTTCCCTCACGCCTGTCGCTGCATAGCCTTGATCAAAACACAGCAGCACCTCCACCTCTACCTCTCTGGCCGCCAACCCAGCCCCACGCCTGCCTTTCAGGGACTGTGGCCTGGCCTGCATTTTCTGAGTTGGAAATGCCTGATTTTGCCCCTGGGTGGCTCTTGTGATAGTGTGGCATCCGAGAGGCAGGCGTGGGCCGAGTTAGAGACTCTCAGGTCAGTGGTGATGGACCAGACCCTCTGGGAACAGGGTGACAGAGTCAAATTACTCTAAGGTAAAACCTGGGTCTCGCACTTAAAATACTCTATTTATTGAACGTCGTTTATTTGCCAGGGACACTGTTAGTACTTTTTGTAGGTTACCTCTAATCCCCACAACGAAGTAGCAAGGGAGGTATTTCTGTCCACATTTTACAGGCTGCGAGCACACGGCAGTGTACGTGCCATTTCTGTTGGCTCTGAAGGCTTTTCCCGAATTCTGCTACTGCCTTATCGGTTTGCTGGATAAGAACAAACTAGAGGAAAGTCTTTGCTGCTGGAAGAGCACATCTTCCGGGTGATGTGTTAGTTGTATCAACTTAGAATGCAGTTGGTCGTGAGATCGTCTCACCTTCACTTTGGATGGTCAGTTTCACCTTTTACGTATAATATAGTTTTTGCTAGGTTTTATGTTCTAAAGTCCAAGTTCAGGGTCTTGTGTGTTATTGTCCGAGGTCTTCCCTTTTCTGCCAGTCCCTTCCCACTGCCCATCCCCATTCTGTCCTCTCTGTATTCTTGGCTTTTTTTTTTTTTTTTTTTTTTTTTTTTTTTTTT